TAGCCAAAATCCCTCAAGGATTTTCAAGGATAGGGCAGCTAAAATGCCTCATACAGGGGGTCCCTTTGGCTACAATCCCTCATAATTTACTATATAAGGAGGCCTCTGCCTGCCAGTTGTTTCCCTCCTCATCCCACTCAGTACACATTTTTGGTGGGACACCTGTCACAGATTACACATATTTATTACACAAGAAGTTCACGAGTAGTACAGTTCACAGATTGAAATATATACACAGTTCATTTCACAAAACATTACACAGAAGAGCCAGTCCTTTGTTCCAGTCCTGGTTGAAGCATAGTGCTCCCAGACTCTTTGGGTTCAAGAACCACCTCTATTACATTATACATATACAGCATCAAGGAAGAACACAAGGATCAAGACATCAAGACAAGAAACAACATCAACAGCTCAATCAATTCTTTGGACAACAAGATCAACCTTCAACAATTATACAACCATCTTTGAACATAATCCATTATCACCAACCAAACTGCCAAGCTTACCTTGGTGGTCTTGTTTTCTGATAATATAGAAAGGCAGAGTTTGCAGCTCATTTCATCCCTTTCTCCATTCAGCAAAAAAGTATCTTACAATCACTTTTTGAGTCTTACACCGGCCTCAAAACTCATGCCCAAGGGAGAACTAGGGACTCTACTCGGTTACAACAACGAAATTCAATCATACAGGATCTTGAGTGATAATGGTAAAATAGTTGAAACGAAAAGTGCTCGGTTCTTGGATCAAATGAAAAAGTCAGATAACGACAAAGATGATAACTTTGAGATCATTGTCGAAGATATTCAACCTGACGTCATCACCTCAAGTAAAGAATCTCCGATCATAAAAAGCGAAGATGATGACACAGACAATGAAATCATCGTTATCGAAAAACCTATCGATATCGAATCTGACTCAAGCTCAGACTCATCCTCCGACTCGTCAGACAGTAGCAATGATGATGTGGAAAATGAACTTGTTCCAAAATCCACAACTCCCAGAAAACTTCGCGACCGAACCACCAAAGTCAAGCCTTCGAAATATTCCTATCTGTCTACAGATCCCTCATCCTTCAGAAAGCCATGTCAT